ACGTATTCTTATTTTAATATTATTTTTGTTGTAAATATAGTAGTATTTATGAATAATTTCTATATCCTTGCAGCCCTAATCATTATAATTGTTGCATCTCTTGTAGCTTTAATTCTTTCCTGTAAATATGTGACTTTGGTTCTTAATAAAATACGCAAGTTTATTGGCTTCTCTCTTTTGTTCACTAATTTATAACACGTGATCAACACGATTCTTTCAAAATCAAAGTAAATTAGTTAGAAGGTAATAATTTTTATGCAAAATCACCTCACATGCACCAAAATCAAAAAAAAATTTGCAGGTTTTTTTATTTATTTATTTATCACGTAGGGCTCATATCACGTAAAATTTTTTGTGTATGCATATCATGTAAAAATTGTCATGTCTGCACATCATTGAAGAGCTCATTCTATTTTTTAATATCCAAATCCAACTTGCAGCAAATCTTCTTTTTTTTCATAATGATTATGTTTTACCTTTTTTAATGATTTATGTAATTAAAATTCTCCAAGATCCAAATGTTTCCGTCAATAGTATAAATAATGTTTTCGTTAATTCTTTGTTTATGCATATTCCGTTTTACAAGATTAGAACGGTATAAAAAAACTTATGTGCCCATTGTTATTTGAATAATTCAATAGTCGCCGACCACCATCGTATGCCAATTTTTAATGTTATGATAATGCAAAATATTTTTAAATTATTATGCATGAAAATTATTAATGTATACATTTTTATTGTGCAAATTTTAATTCATAATGTATGATGTTAGTGTCCCTCAGGTAGCACGGTATTATAATTAATATTCTAAAAAATATATTAATTGTATAATTGTCCATTATAAATCATTTGCTGCTCCTAAAGCAACACAATATTATAATTAATATTCCAAAAGAAAATTGATTGATTTCTAGGTAAAAACACAAATTAAATTACTCTATTTTTTACGTGTACATTCTACTGTATATGTATTTATATATTGATGTTCTAGTTATATTTTTATTGACCCATGGTTGATTATGACTTTAAAATTTTGATTATAAAAAAAAGTTAATTTTATTTACTAATAATTGAATTTAAAGTGATTATAATTTTTAAAGTATCGAATGATAAATTGGTCGATCTTCGTCAAAAGATCAGAATCAAGACTATCACAAATCGGATTCAAAAAGAAGGTCAAGATCGAAGTCACACATTCAAGATAAGTCCTTCAAGAAAATATCTTGAAAGACAGACGTCAAAGAAAGATCAAAACGAGAGCATAAGAGCCAAACTTCGAATAAAGATCAAAGATTAGATTTCTTGGTTCAAATGTAAATGTACTAGATTTCTCTATAAATTCGTAAAAGGCGGACGTCTGGTTGATGAAACGGTAGGATTTTCGATCGTTATATTTCATATGCATAACAACTATTTTGATCGTTCGGATCCAAAGGCGGATGTCCGATTCGACAGAATGTTTTGCTTTTTGAGCTCTATAAATACCCTCACTCTTTCCATTCTATTGGAGACCTTCAAGAGTGTCAAGTGAGATATAATTTGAGAGATTTCTTTAAGCTTAAATTTGCATTCATTTCATTTATTTTTTCATATCAAAAACTTTGATTATTCAAACTCTTTAATAAGCATCTTAATCAAAGTTTTTCATCTCTCTTTTTGTACTTAACTTAATCCTATTACTCATAAAAGAGAGATGTTTTGAAGAAGATTTTTGAACTTGCATTGCATATATTTCTTCCGCTTCTATATATTGAAAACTTTGATTGATTGAATCAAACTTGTAAAATCATCATATTCATTAAAGTTTCTCAACTCTTTTTTGGTACTTAATTTATTACAATCATTCATTAAAATAGATA